TAACCAGGGTAGTTAACAGGGGGCCCGGGGCCTTGAGGGGCCCGTAGAAAATAAGGTATGTATTTTTGGCTATGAGTTTTCAATTAGCAGCATTGGCAGGGCCCGATTGATATTCGAAATTTAATCTTTCAACATGGAATCAACAAGCTGGTCTATGATGTTGGCCTTTTCTTGTTATGGTTTATAATTAAAACATTGACGATACGATCATAATATACTTCTCCGGAAGCCGAAAAATTCGATTGCACTTACATATATCTACTTTTAGTTCAAATGTTTTAGTTATTCCTTGTGTGGAATTCCTATAAACTTAAAAGTAAATCTTCCTTTCACGGCGTACACCAGAGAAAAAGCACATGCGAAGAACCAAGCAAATCCAAACGCTATAAAAGTCTTTATCAAAATCACTAAGCTGGATCACGATCCAACCAACCCCTGCGATGTCATCTTGCAGGCACAAGTCTCAGACTTAGTCTGGTGCTCAGAAAAGGCAGGAAAAAAAGATACGAGAAAAAGAAGCAAAGAAGGCCTCTCGCACATTGTTTGAGGTACAATCACTGCCAAAAGTCTTGGAACACTAACGTAGGTTTTCAAAGGCAAATTCAGCCATCCCCCTCTCCCCCTAGGAACAATGTTGATTTACTTTAGAAAAAAGAGAGGGGTTATGGAGTACGCTTTTTCTTGTGGATTGTTTGATATTTTTCTATACCTTCAACATTGTTTTGGGGGGAAAGGGGGGCGGAAGTGGTAGTATTCAAGAAAACAAATGAAAAATAGAAAAGCACAGCCCAAAGTGTTAGGTGTTCCAAGTAATTTTGGCAGTGATTGTCTGAATGGAAATTTGAAGCTTATCAGATACACTATCACATGTTATGTCTACCCATAGGTTTTCGATGGTGCTGAGTCCATTTATGGCATTTTCAGAACCGTACGTATTACTAATAAGGAGATATGGGGGTATTCTTTGTTTTCAGGGGCTGGGGTAAGCTACCCTCATAGAACTAGGTACCATGTTTCAAAAATGGTTTAAATTGAGAAAATTAAAATTGATTTCTGATCAGAATGGTCAAAATGACATTTTTAAATTTTTTGAAACTTCATGGATATTTGAACATTAATGAAATAATGGGACAGAAGAAATACATGATTACAGGGTAGCAGCTAGTAAAATACTTGAAAAAAGAAAGGGTGCCATTTTAAAAGATGAAAGTCGATTTTTCTTTTGCATTTCTAAAATTGTAGAAAAAGTCTTATTTAAGAATTATGTTGGGTAGCTGCCATGATTTTACCACGAATTTACAAGCTGCCGCTGTTACAAGCTGTTCCTATGCATTTCACTGTCCAAATGGCGATTTTCAAGGAACATATCAAACTCGTAGAGAAGAACCCCGTTTTCCCCGCAAATGAGCTCTCAACAGGCTTATCTACGATTCCACGTTGGCCTTTAAAAGAGCTAAAATACAACTGACGTCCACTCATACTTCTGCGCCCTAAAATTCCAGTTTTAGTTGCACGCCAAGTAAAGGCTCCATTTCTGCTTCCACTGTTTTGCCAAAAAGCCATTGCAACCATGACTGTGCCTCCCTCTTTTTTATCCATAAAAGCGCTGGACCGATTATTTCAACAATAATAACTTGCTGCTTTTGTTTGCCTGTCATTTAGCATACCAAAACACATTTCATCACCCAATGCAAATTGCATCCTTGTCAGAGGCAAGGCCCCGCAAGCCCACTGTCGTTCACAGATATGAGAAACTGTAGACCGTACTGTTAACCGTGGCGGCTTTTTGCAGTTTTCTCTATGGTCAACAGCATTTTTGCCCCCAAATTTACCACAAAGGTGTGTCATAATTTAACTAACATGTAGGACTAAGTTTTGCATAAATTCCGTGATGAAAACGGCAAGATTTTAGAGAAATCCCACGGTTAACACTTGAAACGAGAAAAGATCTTGAGTTCTTGAAATTCCTTCTTCAGAAAAGTGTTAACCGTGGACATTTTCCTGCATTTCTGGAGTTTTGTAACTGGAATGAAGCTGAAAGGCTACAGACACCTGTAAAAACACATTGCACACATGCTGGCAAACTATCGTCTATTTTATTGAACAGTACGATTTTTATAAACATTTTAAAAAGTGTAGACCGTGACTGTTAACCGTGGGCAGTAGACATTCTCATACTACACAGCATTCACATTTGGGAACGAAGGCTCTCCTAATTCCTCGCATACGTTGATAATACCAATGCACCAATGAATTCAGCACCATCGAAAACCCTATAGTAAGACCAACTTTTCCTGTCATAACCATTGGTTTTCGAAATTGGCTTCAGACAATCACTGCCAAAAGTCTTGGAACACTAACGTAGGTTTTCAAAGGCAAATTCAGCCATCCCCCTCTCCCCCTAGGAACAATGTTGATTTACTTTAGAAAAAAGAGAGGGGTTATGGAGTACGCTTTTTCTTGTGGATTGTTTGATATTTTTCTATACCTTCAACATTGTTTTGGGGGGAAAGGGGGGCGGAAGTGGTAGTATTCAAGAAAACAAATGAAAAATAGAAAAGCACAGCCCAAAGTGTTAGGTGTTCCAAGTAATTTTGGCAGTGATTGTCTGAATGGAAATTTGAAGCTTATCAGATACACTATCACATGTTATGTCTACCCATAGGTTTTCGATGGTGCTGAGTCCATTTATGGCATTTTCAGAACCGTACGTATTACTAATAAGGAGATATGGGGGTATTCTTTGTTTTCAGGGGCTGGGGTAAGCTACCCTCATAGAACTAGGTACCATGTTTCAAAAATGGTTTAAATTGAGAAAATTAAAATTGATTTCTGATCAGAATGGTCAAAATGACATTTTTAAATTTTTTGAAACTTCATGGATATTTGAACATTAATGAAATAATGGGACAGAAAAAATACATGATTACAGGGTAGCAGCTAGTAAAATACTTGAAAAAAGAAAGGGTGCCATTTTAAAAGATGAAAGTCGATTTTTCTTTTGCATTTCTAAAATTGTAGAAAAAGTCTTATTTAAGAATTATGTTGGGTAGCTGCCATGATTTTACCACGAATTCACAAGCTGCCGCTGTTACAAGTTGTTCCTATGCATTTCACTGTCCAAATGGCGATTTTCAAGGAACATATCAAACTCGTAGAGAAGAACCCCGTTTTCCCCGCAAATGAGCTCTCAACAGGCTTATCTACGATTCCACGTTGGCCTTTAAAAGAGCTAAAATACAACTGACGTCCACTCATACTTCTGCGCCCTAAAATTCCAGTTTTAGTTGCACGCCAAGTAAAGGCTCCATTTCTGCTTCCACTGTTTTGCCAAAAAGCCATTGCAACCATGACTGTGCCTCCCTCTTTTTTATCCATAAAAGCGCTGGACCGATTATTTCAACAATAATAACTTGCTGCTTTTGTTTGCCTGTCATTTAGCATACCAAAACACATTTCATCACCCAATGCAAATTGCATCCTTGTCAGAGGCAAGGCCCCGCAAGCCCACTGTCGTTCACAGATATGAGAAACTGTAGACCGTACTGTTAACCGTGGCGGCTTTTTGCAGTTTTCTCTATGGTCAACAGCATTTTTGCCCCCAAATTTACCACAAAGGTGTGTCATAATTTAACTAACATGTAGGACTAAGTTTTGCATAAATTCCGTGATGAAAACGGCAAGATTTTAGAGAAATCCCACGGTTAACACTTGAAACGAGAAAAGATCTTGAGTTCTTGAAATTCCTTCTTCAGAAAAGTGTTAACCGTGGACATTTTCCTGCATTTCTGGAGTTTTGTAACTGGAATGAAGCTGAAAGGCTACAGACACCTGTAAAAACACATTGCACACATGCTGGCAAACTATCGTCTATTTTTATTGAACAGTACGATTTTATAAACATTTTAAAAAGTGTAGACCGTGACTGTTAACCGTGGGCAGTAGACATTCTCATACTACACAGCATTCACATTTGGGAACGAAGGCTCTCCTAATTCCTCGCATACGTTGATAATGACGGACACAGAAACATAATTGACACACATTATTTGGCATTAGTGAGACAAAGAAAGAACAGAAATGAAGGGGGTAGGATGAGGGTATCTTTGAGCACTACCTTGTTGCCACGCGTAAATGCGAAGGAGCGTGCTTTCAATTCA